GATAGAGTATGGTGTTTCATGGAGTCATTCATGGAGCCCTAGAGAAATCTCACTTGAGTTGTTATGGATTACCTTTATTTATAGGCAGTGAGTACTTTGAATTGAATCCAATCATTTATTTGTCAGCTTGATCAGCCTTGGAAGTCAAAAATTTGGGCTGGACCCATTGAAAATTTTTAAAAAACATGTAATTTACTTGTTACACGTGATTTGCTTTCATAAGAGAAAACAAGAAATATGAAATCAAACATTTTAAGGAAAATTGCATTAAAGGATCACTGGAACACAATAATTACAAAAAAGGATTAAAGCATAAACTTACTTTGAAACCTTTGATATCTGATCTGACATGAAGATTGAAAGAGAAAATGCAAAGATAACCTTCTTGAATTTCATCTAATAAAAATATTGTTTTGACAAGTAACTATTATAATAGTTTTAAAAACTTCAAGTGTAGGAAATATTAAATGTAATGTTATTTGGGTTAAATATAGCTTTGGGCCAAACCCACCTTAAGTTTCTATAAGAGAAGTAGTTAATAAAAAGGAAAGAAAACCAACATATCACTTAAGCGGTATCCGCGAACCCTTTCAAAGAAAGCCTTACTTAAGTGGGGATTCAGATTAATTTAGAGTGGATTAGTTTATAAGTTCTTCTTCTTTATTATATACTAGTTGTTAAGCCTAACTTTATCCGATGTGGGATTTTTCACATCATTTTTAGTCCACTCACACTTGAACAACCTAACAGTACTCAACTTCAGAGTTTTGATGCATGGAGTTACAATAGGAATCCATAACTTTGTGGAGTTCCTCTTCAAAAGAAATGCACAACACATGAGAAAGTAGATATAGCAAGCAAGTTGAAGGAAATAATGAAGATGATATTTTTTAAAGTCATCGTATCTTGAAATAGGAGTTGAATTTGTAGTGGGATTCTAGATAGTTTGTAGTTCTTTGTTTTTCAACAAAACATGGAGGCATAATTAATTTTGATTTTTTAATGACATGGTAGACCGAATAATCTATGTTATTGTGCCTATAAATATTCGAAGATTCTATTAATTAGGAATAAGCTTCAACTCAGGTTAGTAATCAAGGTTTTTTTCCCTCAGCCTTTATTTAAATTCAAAGTTCTCTGTGGATAGTGATATGTTTATTATGTGATGACATTTGAAATTGAATTAGCAATTAACTCATATCATTCCTGTTCATAATTCATAGTGACAGGTAGTTTTTGATTGAAGTACTTTTGAGACTCCCAAGCTGCAGATGCTTTGCTAGTTTGGTTCTTTGATCGATGATGTCTATATCGAGCTCAAATGTTGCAACTTCAAGTATTCAAACGTTTTAGGATGTGAAAGTCAGGCCGGTGATGTTTTGTCGGGTGTGTTGTGTCATTGTAATTACTATATTGTTTGTGTTGTTCAGATTTTGTAAGGTATAATTGGCTGTTTATATAATTTATAGAACCATAATTTTTGCAGTACTCCCCATGAATGGTAAATAAAACAGATCAGGTCATTACATTCATGATCCATAAAAATAAATCACTTGACACCAGGGACTGGACGGATCTAGATTATGTTGTGTGTGTGTCAAAACCATGTATGTCAAGAGCTTCACATTGCCTAAATGAAGAACTCTCCTAGTATATTAATACTAAGGAATGAAGTGGGCTAATAAAATGGGTTTGGAGGAGAAGTGGGCTCGCGTGCATGAGACAGGCCAACTCAAGGCAATCGCAGTTGAAATCAATAAAATTTTTATTGTTTAAATTTAAATTTGAAGCCTTGGCAGTTTCTAGGCATTAAACCACTTTTAAAAATTGATTTTGTGAGCTAATTTCTTAAACGCCCTTGTCTACCAACGGCTCCAGATTAATAGTGTTTTATATGTGTGTAACTGAAGCCTTAATTCGGTGATTATGAGCCAACATTCATGTCTCCATCTATGGGCTACATATAGCAATGGGTGTAGACAGATCAACTCGCCAGCTTCTTAAGCTTTTAGGGCAATTCTTTCCTCCCTCCAGCTTCTGATGTGTTGTTCATCTAAGTTTATTTTTAGTTTTGTTAATCTGGTCCCTCGCTCCTGCAGGAAGTGCTTGTTAATCCTGAGGAACTGCTAGTCCGTCATCCCGGTGTGCCGGATTAGTTCTTAAAGACAGTGTTTTTTTGGGAACAACTCAAGTAGCTCGTGATTCGTGTCCATGCTGCCAATACCGCCAACAAATTATGCATGTGGGGAGGCCAAATTTTAAATTAAAAAGTTATGGGGAGCTATAGAATTAATTTTCTCTTTATTTACAAGAAAATCAGTGCTAATTACAAATTGAGACCACCAACTAATTAATCTGGTTTCAGTTCTTTAAGATTCAGCTATTTTTCAAAACGTTTTAATTAAGCCCAGCCAAAATTTTACACTTCCAAACCCCAACCAAGCAATAAACTTAAACAAGATCATTAACAAAATGAGTTAATTATATTAAAGGGAGCAACATCTAATAGTTCAACTTTCATAAGAGAGGGAATTAGTTGGCATGACTTTAATTTGAGGAACCACAAATTAAATTAAATAAAACAGTTATTAATAATGAAAGAATTCTACAAAGTTATTTGCAATAGTACCAAAAATTATTTTCGGTCAATACTATTATTTAATGTTATTGTTGGAAGGCCACTTTCAGCAGCACAATTAAAAGTGTCCGTTAACAACCATTTTTTAAAGTGTGCAAAAGTACAAAATCTAATAAAATAAAATTTTAAATTTAATTTGTGTAAAACCACCAAATATTGAGTATAAAATATGTTCTTTTGATTGTTTATGGGGATATATAAAATTAGTACATTTGAAGGAAATTGTGCGAGAGGTTGATTTCAATTTCAAACATTGATTGGCTTTGACATTTCAAATATTATCAAACCTATTGTGGATTTAGTGGTTGGGAAGTTGCTGGGTTTGCATGATGAAGTTTAATTTCTTTGAAAAGGACTGAAACCAGAGAAAAAATAAGCACCCCATAACTTTGGTAATTGCTTTTGAAAATGAAGTTTGACAAAGTTGGGGACATCATGTTCATCAAAGAAAATTGACAATAGAAGATAAGGAGGGAAGCTCCTATGTTGGTTCCTTTCATTAATGAGCATACTATAATTGACTGTCTTGCACATTCTCCCTATTTAGTGTGTATATAAAAAAATTTTATATAATTGAAAAAGCAACTTCACTCATGGATATAAACCTTGCTAGCTAGAGAAATAACAAGCCCTCACTTACTGAAACCCTTTTGAAACTCTTTCCTTTAATTTGTAATCAAGTAAACATCATGATTATGGTTGGTTTTGTGTCACAAATTTCAAATGTTTTGTTGATGTTGCTACTTGCAGTGACATTCAACAAAAGCTTCTGTTGCCATAAGAAGGATCAAAGTTTGTTGTTAATCTTCAAGCAAGGCACTAAAGATCCTTCCAGTCGCCTTTCCTCATGGTCTACTCAACAAGATTGTTGTTCATGGGAAGGAGTTGAGTGTTCTAGTGACACTGGCAGATCACAAGTCTTCTTCTGGAAAATGCACGTTAGAAGAGTCCAGAATCCTTAAGAGGTGAAATCAACTTATCTTCTTTACTTGAACTTGAATTTTTGGAATTCTTATACTTGAGCTACAATGACTTTGAATGCATAACCACGCCATCTATCAATACTTCTATTGTAACTCATGGTCATTTGCTGGAAAATTTTTCTAAGCTTTCTGAACTGAGTTTATTATACAATGTTCATCTTCACATTGATAATTTTCATTGGCTTTCTCAACTTCCTTCGCTGACACATCTTGATCTCAATGGCATTCATCTTCATAAAGAAACGAATTGGGTTCAACATTTTACTTCGTTACCTCTTGAGGAATTATGTTTGGAAGATTGCCATTTGACAAGCTTCAATATTCCATCTGTTGAGAATGTCAATTTTAGCTCTCTATCACTTCTTTCTCTTAGTCAAAATGATTTTAGATATGGATTACCTAAATGGTTGTTCAATCTTAGTAAGAACTTATCCTATCTTCATCTCAAACAGTGCAATTTAAGCAGTCAAGTTTCAGATTTTTCAGGTTATCAAAACCTGCATACCTTAGATTTGTCTATCAACAAACTCAAGGGATCAGTGCCAGACTGGTTAGGCCAACATGACCACTTACATCATCTTATTCTATCTAATAACTTGCTTGACAACATTCCTTCAATTCTAGGAAGCTCACCAACTTTAACAGTTTTAGATCTTAGCTTCAATTACTTGGGTGGTACACTTTTAAAAAGCCTTGTAACAACCAACTTACTTTTGGATTTGTCTCACAACTCAATTGGTGGAGATATCTCAAACTTGTTGCTAACCAATGCGTTCATATTTATGTTATTTAATAAATTCAAAGGACAGCTTCCTCGTATATCAACTACCGTCAATACCTTGGATTTGTCTTACAACTCTTTCTCTGGATCTTTGTCTTCTTTGTTGTGTTACAATGAGGATGAACAAGCTAGCTTGGAGTATTTGGATATATCAAATAATTTTCTATCAAAAGAACTTCCTGATTGTTGGAACAATTATCTATACTTGTCTTATATATACTTAAGGAGTAATAAGTTATATGGTGAAGTTCCTCCAATGATGGGTTCATTAGTTGAGCTCAACTTACTAGATTTAACTAACAATAGCTTTTATAGGGATATACCATGGACTCTCCAAAATTGCACATCTTTGTTGGTCATTAATCTGGAAGAAAACAATTTTTATAGGAATATATCAACATGGATGCCAAAAAGTATATCAGTTGTGAACTTGAGATCCAATCAATTTTCAGGCAACATTCCTTCACAGATATGCAGTCTCTCTAATTTGATTGTGTTAGATCTCTCGAATAACAAACTTTCAAGATAAATCCCTTATTGTCTACACAATCTAACCAATATGATTTCGGGACTTTCAAACATTTTTTTCACCATGAAAATGACACTAGGTGGTCTCCCATTGATGGATGGCTATGAAATTCCACTTAAATTCAAAACTAATCTGCATACAAAGGGTCAGCAATTAGAGTATGGGGAAAACCTAGGACTTGTGCAGATTATTGACTTTTCAACTAACAAACTTTGTGGAGAAATTCCTGGCCAACTGTTTGGGCTTAAAGAGTTACAATCCTTGAACTTATCTTATAATGATTTAACAGGAGAGATATCAGAGAGAATTGGGGAGATGAAAAATCTAGAGTCTCTTGACTTCTCCCATAACAATCTTCATAGGAATATTCCTTTGAGCATGTCTAGTCTATCTTTCTTAAGTCATTTGAATCTGTCATATAATGATTTCAAAGGACAAATTCCATTGGCGACTCAGCTTGAAAGTTTTGATGCATGGAGTTACATTGGGAATCCAGAACTTTATGGAGCTCCTCTTCAAAAGAACTGCACAATACATGAGAAAGTAGACAATAACCAACAAGTTGGAGGAAATAATGAAGATGACACTTTTTTGAAGTCATTGTATCTTGGAATGGGAGTTGGATTTGCAGTGGGATTCTGGATAATTTGTGGTTCTTTATTTTTCAACAGAGCGTGGAGGCATACTTATTTTCGGTTCTTTAATGGCATGGTAGATTGAATATATGTTATTGTGGCTATAAAGCTTCGAAGATTCCACTAATATTAGGAATAAGCTTCAACTCAGGTCAATTCTAAAGGTTTTTTCCGCTTTATTTAAATTCAAAGTTCTCTTTGGATTGTGATATGTTTATTATGTGATGACATTTGAAATTGAGTTAGCAGTTAACTCATATCATTCCTGTTCATATTTCATAGTAATAGGTAGTTTCTGATTGAAGTACTTTCGAGACTCCCAAGTTGCAAATGCTCTGCTGGTTTGGCTCTTTGGTTGATGATGTCCGTGTCAAGCTCTAGTGCTGCAAACTTAAGTATTCAAATGTTTTGGGATGTGAAAGTCCGGTGATGTTTTGTGGGAGTGTTGTGTCACCGTAATTACAATATTGTTTGTGTACATTATTTAGATTTTGTGAGCTTTATACTTGACTTGGCTGTTTATATAATATATAGAACCATAATTTTTACAGTTCTCCCCATGAATGATGAATAAAATAGAGATCAGATCAATAAATTCATGATCCATAAAGATAAATCACTTGACAACCAGGGACGGATCTAGATTATGCGTGCAGGGAGGCCAATTTCCAATTTTTTTTAAAAAAATATGGGGATGGAATTAATTTTCCCCTCATTTGCAAGACAAGTGGTGCTAATTACAAGGAAAATTGAAACCACCAACTAAACTGGTTTTAGTTTTTCAAGTTTTAGCAATTTTTTAGAAATTTTTAACTTAGCCCAGCCCAAATTTTACACTTTCGTGCCCAATCAAGTAATTAACAAAAATAGTAATTGAATTTGAAAGTTCATACTTCTTTGAAATTTTTTAGCCAAAGAAGAAAAAAAAAAATCATTAAGCAATTGATTGGGGGAAAGTGTCAATAATCAACATACGTTTTCTTCTTTTATAAATCATGGGTTGGAGATTTTAAATGGGAAATAAAATATTTGTTAATATAATTTATTATATCCCTCTACTTCTCCTTTATTATTATTATTTTTTTTTTTGCAAAGCGATATATTGATTTTCTTTTCTTCCTATTAATCACCACTCTTCTAGAAATTTAAGGTGGGTTTGGCCCAAAATTATACTTTGGTCCAAATAACATTACATTTAATATTTCATAAACTCATGCTTTTTAAAACTATTATAATAGTTACTTGTCATTTTTTTATATGTATACTTGTCAAAATAATATTTCCATTAGATGAAATCCAGGAAGGTTATTTCCATCTTTTCTCTTTCAATTTTCATGTCAGATCAGACGCTAGGAGCTTCAGAATAAATTTTGTTCTAGCTGTCCTTTAGTACAATTTTCCTTAAAATGTTTGATTCCATATTTCTTGCTTTCTCGTGGTAAAAATAAAAAATAAAATAAATATTTTCTTGCTTTCTCGTTTGAAAGCAAATCACATATAACAAGCAAGTTACAGGTTTTAGGCTTTGAAGCTATTTTCTAAAACTTTTCAATGGGCCCAGCCCAAATTTTCCACTTTCAAATCCAATCAAGCCAACAAATAGATGATTGGATTCAGTCCAAAGTACCAACAAATAAAAATTGAGTCCAACAAAATGGACTAATTCCTCATAATGTAATAAATTAAAATTTAAAACTTTATTAAAAGAAGTACTCACATTTAGTGTCTAACTGTACCTCAAATAAAATTACTTTTAATAAAAAGATACTAATAGATAACAAAAAAAAAAAATTGAAGTACTCACTTCCTACAAATACAAGAAATCTATAATAATTATTTAAACAAGATAATCATTAAGTAATTCGAGTAAAATGTCAAGTAATTAACTTGTGTTGTGTTCTTGTTTCCCTTTTTAAGAAAACGTAGCATTAAATTAAATTGGTTCTAAATTAAATTTATTTATACATCATGCAGAAGTGGAGACTTTTTATCTGGTGAGAAATATATTAGTTAAAATATTTTCTTATATTCCTGATCATACATTAGCATGAGAATGTTGCGCGAAGTTGGCAAGTTCAGAATTCACCAAACAGATTCCGCGGGGAATACAGATCCAGAAAAGCCAGAGTAAAAGATGATGAAGATGATCAATTAAAGCTTAGCCAAATTCCATATAGATCAAGGCATTCCAAAGATATTGAGTCCATGTAAATGATTTGTAGATTCCTTTTTTGACGCATCTTTTGAAATTATAAATTCATTCCTGATTTTGATTAACTTTTTAGAGGTTCAGCTGCCGAAAATCTTACAATACTAATAAAAATTAGGGCAAATAATTTGTAAAATATTAATTATTATTTTTTATATATAAAATAACAGTCGGTTTCTGACAAAAAAATTTTGAAAAATAATTTGTAAACATAAGCAGTTTTTTAAATTAATTAAAAACTTGTCATAATAATTATAAAGCATTTCTAAATATTTTCAAAAAAAAACCGGCCATCTAAAATTATTGTTTATTGTATTGTTTGTATTTAAATTCCATATAATCACACCATCGATCACCATATGCACACATCGCCTCTATGTCAGTGAAGGAAGGAAAAAAGACAATGTGTACGGCGACAAATGCTAAGGCCGGGGGAAAATACAGATAAAAGATGACTTCTAAACTTTTAAATTAAAGAAATAAGCTTTCAAATTTAGTCAACACAAACTTCATCCAAATTAAAACAAACTATAGAGATAAATAAAGTTAATTTAATCAGCATTTTTTGGCTTAATTAAAAAAAACACGTTCTTACAAATAAATATAAACAAAGCAAAGCACATAAAATCATATATAATATTGAACTGCACCACTTAACAAAATATTTAATAATTACATGACCTATATAAATCTTTCTAAAGACCAAACAAGCCTTCATTTCCAGATCACGGCTTGCTTTTCGCATCAAAACCAAGCATCCATGGTCATGGCTAGTTTCACTTCACAAATTTCATTAGTTTTGTTGATGTTATTTGCAGTGACATTCGATAAAAGCAATTGTTGTAATGACAATGATAGAATTTTACTGTTAATCTTCAAACAAGGGGTCGTGGATCCTTCCAACCTCCTATCTTCATGGTCCACTAAACAAGATTGCTGTCAATGGCTAGAAGTTGAGTGTGATCGCAACACAAGCAGAGTCAAAACCCTTGTTCTGCCACCGCCAGACGGAAATCTACATGGTTCAGAATTCTTGAGAGGTGAAATCAACTTATCTTCATTACTTGCTCTTGAATTTCTGGAATCCTTGGACTTAAGCTACAATGACTTTGAACGTTTAAGCACACCATCTATGAATAACTCTGATGTTGCTCACAGTCACTTACCTGCAAACTTCTCAAAGCTTTCTGAATTGAGCTTATCAAATAATATTCATCTTCACATTGATGATCTTCATTGGCTTTCTCAACTTTCTTCCCTGACAACTCTCGATCTCGAAAGCGTTCATCTTCCCCTGGAAACAAGTTGGGTTCAATCATTGGCTTCGCTACCTCTGAAGCGATTATATTTGCGAGATTGTCATTTGAACAGCTTCATCCTATCTAGCAAGAATGTCAATTTTAGCTCAGTTTCAGTTCTTGATCTCAGTCTAAATGAGTTTAGATATGGATTGCCTGACTGGTTGTTCAATCTCAGCAAAGATTGCGACCGTCTTTATCTCAAACAGTGCAACTTAAGAGGTCCAATTCCAGATTTTTCAGTTTATCGAAACCTGCTTTACTTAGATCTGTCTAGCAACAATCTCCAAGGAACAATACCTGATTGGTTAGGCCAACTTGAACATTTATATAGCCTTCATCTATCTAATAACTCGTTTCATGGCTTCTTTCCTTCCAATCTCGGAAACTCATCAGCTTTATCAAGTTTTGATATTAGCTTCAATAACTTGAGTGGGACACTTCCAAAGAGCCTTGAGCAAACAGCCTTCATGCTTTTGGATCTGTCTCACAACTCATTTAATGGAGATATCTCAAAGTTGTTATTAAAAGGGTATTTTATATCCATGTCATTTAATAAATTTGAAGGACAACTTCCCCGTATTTCACCTAATGTCATTGTTTTAGATTTGGCTCACAACTCTTTCTCTGGATCTTTATCTTCTCTACTATGTGACGCACAAAGTGGTAACAATTTTCTGTACTATTTAGATATATCAAATAATTTTCTCACCGGAGAACTTCCAGACTGTTGGAACAATTGGGCAAACTTGTCCCATATATACTTAGGTAGTAACATGTTTTCAGGTGAAGTTCCTCCAACAATGGGTTCATCGTTACTTTTGCTAAGTACACTAGATTTACATAATAATGGCTTCTTTGGAGATATACCACAGACTTTCCAATATTGCATGTCTTTGGTATTGATTAATCTTGAAGGAAACAATTTTTCTGGAAAAATACCAGAGTGGACGCAACAAAACATATCAGTTGTGAAATTGAGATCCAATCAATTCATTGGAATCATTCCACCACAACTATGTAGCCTCTCTAATTTAATTGTATTGGATCTTGCTGACAACCAGCTTTCTGGATCGATCCCTCCTTGTCTCAACAACTTAACTAGCTTGGCTTTAGGACTTCTTCCTAATGCTTTAATCACCAAAGCTAATGATCTAAGAGTAGAGGTCGGTCTCCCAATCTCTTATGAATACAGAGCTGGATTGTACACAAAGGGTCAGTTATTAGAGTATGAGAGAAGCCTAAAACTTGTGCGAAACATTGACCTTTCAGCTAACAAATTATCTGGTGAAATTCCTGTTCAATTATTGGACTTGCACAAATTACAATCCTTGAACTTGTCTCATAATCATTTGATAGGAAAGATACCAGAGCAAATGGGAGGTTTGAAAGACCTAGAGTCTCTTGATTTCTCCCACAACAGACTTCATGGGAATATTCCTAAAGTATGGCAAGTTTGTCTTTTCTAAGTTATTTGAATATGTCATACAACAATTTCAGTGGTCAAATTCCATGGGGGACACAACTTCAAAGCTTTGAAGCTTGGAGTTACGCTGGTAATCCTGAACTTTGTGGAGCTCCTCTTCAAAATAACTGCACAATACAAGAAAATCCAAACAATACGAAGCAAGTTGAAGAAAACGATGATGACACTTTTTTGAAGTCGTTGTATCTTGGAATGGGACTTGGATTTGCTGGAGGTTTCTGGATAGTCTGTGGCTCTGTGCTCCTCATTGGAAAATGGAGGCATGCTTATTTTCGTTTCTTTACTGGCTTGGTTGATCGAATCTATGTTACTATGGCTATAAAGCTTCGAAGACTTCGCTAAATCGGGAATAAGTTCCAAGTAAGGCCAGATACACAGCACTTTTTTATTTAAATTCAAGGTTTTCTTTTATAATATTTCTTGTTTCTAAGAATAATTGACATTATTGTGTCTATTTCCTTCCATTTGTTGCTTAATAAATCAAGTGCAAAACAATTTATATAATGCTATGATCAGTTAGAGTAACTCCGCCTATGTTTATAGCCGGTCCCAAGCCCGGGTAAAGGAGGAGGGTTGTGTTAGGCCATCAACAGCCAATGTAAAAATTTGTTGAATCTATCATGAACATGGACAATAGACGTTATAATGTTAATGCTAGGTCGTTGCCCGTAAGTAACGCGCTGCATGGCTCAAGTACAGTGATAAGTGAGTTAGAGCCGCTGCATCGGCGCCCGGATGTAGTGTTAAATGAGCAAGGGCTACCGCGTCATTCTGGACGCACGCGGCTAAAGAAGTTAGTCCATAAGAGCAAAATTAGATTTGGTACTTGGAATGTTGGGACATTAAATTGTAAATCTGTAGAGGTTGTAGGGGTTATGATTCAAAGGAAAATCAATATCCTTTGCTTGCAAGAAACAAAATGGCGTGGAGAAGAAGCTAAGGATATTCAAGGTTTCAAACTTTGGTATACAGGAAAAGTAAGTGCACGCAATGGAGTAGGCATCATTATAGATAAGGAGTGGAAGAAGAACGTTGTAGAAGTTAGCAGAATTGGAGACAGAATTATTTCTTTAAAAATGATAATTGGACGTGAGACTGTTAATATTGTTAGCGCTTATGCGCCGCAAGTCGGGACAGAAGCCAGTCTTAAGGAATTATTTTGGGAGGATCTGGAGGGGTTGATTCGACACATACCACAGAGTGAAAAGATTTTTATTGGAGGAGACTTTAATGGGCATGTCGGGAGGGAAGCTGGTCAGTATGCGAGGGTGCATGGTGGTTTTGGTTTTGGAGAGCTAAACAATGAAGGGCAAACTCTTCTTGATTTCTCATTGGCGTATGATTTTAAGATTGCCAACACTTGTTTCAAGAAGAGAGATGAGCATCTCATCACCTACAAAAGTGGAGCCTCAAGGTCGCAGATTGATTTTCTTTTGGTTAGGAACACAGATAGAAAACTTTGTAAAAATTGTAAGGTGATCCCTGGAGATGCTGTAACGACACAACATAGGGTCCTAGTCCTTGATGTGTGTATTATGAGTAAAATCCAAAAACGTCGACAAGTAGTAACACCAAGGATTAGGTGGTGGCAATTAAAAGGTGAGAAGCAAGATATTTTCAAGCGAAATCTTTTGGATAAAGGAATTTGGGATTCTCAGGGAAGTGCTAACATCATATGGGAGGATATGGCTAAAAAGATACGGGAGGTTGCAAAAGTAGTTTTGGGAGAATCGAAAGGTCCTGGTCCGAGAGATAAGGAGTCTTGGTGGTGGAATAATAGTGTACAGGACAAAATCAAGTATAAGAAGAACTGTTTTAAAGCCATACATTTGTGTAACAATGAGGAAAATTGGGAGAGGTACCGTATGGCTAAGAAGAAAACTAAGAGAGCTGTGGGTGAAGCTCGTTCTAAAGCTTTTGAAGAATTTTATAAGAACCTTGAGACGAAGGAAGGAGAGCAAAATATTTATAAGATTGCCAAGAGTAGGGAAAGAAAATCAAGAGATCTAGAACAGGTAAGGTGTATTAAGGATGAAGAGGGAAGAATTTTAGTTACAGATGATGAAATTAAAAATAGATGGGAGACTTATTTTTCTAAACTTTTCAATGATGGAGAGGATTCATCTAGTAACTTGGAGGATTTAGTAACTGGTGAAGGAGAACAAAATTTGTCATTCTATCGAAAAATACGTGATAAGGAGGTAAAGGAAGCTCTTAAGAAAATGGCAAATGGTAGAGCTAACGGACCTGATTGTATATCTATCGAAGCGTGGAAATGTTTAGGTGAAGAAGGGGTGAGATGGTTAACTAAGTTATTTAATGTGATTTTACGGTCCAAGAAAATGCCTGATGAGTGGAGGAGAAGTACATTAATTCCTATTTATAAAAATAAAGGAGATATTCAGAATTGTACTAACTATAGAGGGATTAAACTCATGAGCCACACAATGAAATTGTGGGAGAAAGTAATTGAGCACAGGTTGAGATTGGAGACAAGTATTTCTGAGAATCAATTTGGTTTTATGCCAGGTAGATCAACTACAGAGGCGATTTATCTACTAAGGGGATTAATGGAAAAGTATCGTTGTAAAGATAAAGATCTACACATGGTTTTTATTGATTTGGAAAAAGCTTATGACCGTATACCAAGAGAAGTGCTTTGGAAAGCGTTGGAAAAAAAGGGAGTACGGATTGCTTATATTAAAGCCATACAAGATATGTATGAGGGGGTAAAAACTAGTATAAGAACGCCTAGTGGTCAAACAAAGGATTTTCCTATAAAGATTGGGCTACATCAGGGATCATCTCTGAGTCCTTATTTGTTCAACTTGATTTTAAATGTTTTGACGGAACATATTCAAGAGGAAATCCCGAAATGTATGCTCTTCGCGGATGATATAGTTCTTATAGCAGAGACAAGAGAAGAGGTTAATTGCAAACTTGAGTTATGGAGGAGGACATTGGAGTCGAAAGGTTTTCGTCTGAGTAGAAGTAAGACGGAATATTTATATTGTAAATTTGATAAAGGACTATTCGAAAATAATTTGGAAGTGAAATTGGGAGATCAAATTATACCTCAAGTGGAAAAGTTTAGATATTTGGGAGCCATTATCCAAAATGATGGCGAAATCAGTGGAGATATTTCACATAGAATTCAAGCTGGGTGGTTTAATTGGAGAAAAGCTAAAGGAGTTATTTGTGACCGTAAGGTGCCTAATAAACTTAAAGGAAAGTTTTATCGTACTGCTATCAGACCGGCAATGTTATATAGTAGTGAATGCTGGGCTCTAACGGGACAGCAAGAGCATAAAGTTGGAGTAGCAGAGATGAGAATGTTACGATGGATGTGCGGACATACACGTAAAGATAAAATTCGAAATGAACACATACGTGAAAAAGTGAGGGTGGCACCTATTGAGGAAAAAATGGTAGAAAATCGGTTGAGATGGTTTGGGCATGTACAAAGAAGACCAAGGGAGGCACCAGTGAGAAGAGTGGAACATATAACTTTGAGTCCGATTAAGAGAGGTAGAGGAAGGCCTAAGAGAACACTCTTGGAAGTTGTTGAACGTGATCTCTTAATTAATAATATTTCTAAAAGCTTAATAAATGATAGAGCACAATGGCGTCTTGCAATCCATGTAGCCGACCCCACCTAGTGGGATAAAGGCTTGTTGTTGTTGTTGTTGTTGTTGTATGATCAGTTAGAGTATTCGGCCCATAAAAGTATGCGAAGATGAGTATAATTTTAACGAAATGAAACAAGGATCACTTGTATATTTTTAAAAATATGCAAATACAAACAAGTAATTTAGAATAAGACCATTTTAACTTAAATTAAGACTTATCAAATTATATATTTAGCAATTTGATGGTCCAAATTAATTTGACATTTGATTGTTCTATTGTTTTTTGTTTTTTAGAGTTACGTTTGACTAAGTGAATTTGAAAGATTATATAATTAATAAATAGTAAAGTACTAATTTTTTATTCTATTTCTTCTGCCTTTTATTTTTAAAGTTTTGACTTCAACCATATGGAGAGAGAAACAATTTTTATTTTAAAGTTTTCATCCAATATAATTTGACATTTAAAATATAATTTAAGATAGCTATGGAGCAAGGTACTAGTATCAAGATTCAAGGCTATAGATAAATTTCTTTTGAGCTGTATCTTATACTTTATGAGCGATTTTGCATTTAATCATGTGATATGCGAGTCGGAGTATGCCAATTGAATTTGGTGGTGATGTGTGTTATGTGTATAGGGTATGTTTTTGAAGTGGTAAAAAATGGTGAAAGTCATAATTTATTATTTTGTATATGTTTATAATTTATTTATATTTACCTTTTAAGCTATCTTTATTTTCTTTATAAATTTTAATTCATTCATTCATTTTAATTATTTTTTGTTCATTTTTATTTTCCAAACGATCCTTTATCATCATATGGTACCGATTAAAAGAAACGATTTATACATAATTTTTTTTTTTATATTTTTGCTATTAGACTTCACATTCAACATATGACAAGTGTATCATTCCCCAAGAATAATAAAAATCTATTTTTTTAATATAATTGTGCATAGTTATATGACCTAGAATTAAACAACAAACTTGTGTCATGTCATTATTGAAATATTACTCATATATTTGCCATCCATGTTTTAATTAAAAAACATAGCATTAAAATATGCATATATTGGAGACATTACATATTTTTAATTATTAATATTGTGGCACTGATTGTGATATCGATGTTCATACTTATGTGGTGACAGCTCTAGGTATGTACAAATAACATAATGTATAGTACATGTGTATATTTGAAACTGAGGAATTTTTATCCAATTACTTTGATGTATCCTATTATTTTCATTTCATAAATTGAAGCATTGTTCAATTATTCATTCAAATTAAATGCCCCAAAGCCAACTCTAATATGACGTTTTTCAATCACATAATTTGTTATTTATGTGCCAATAGGTAGTTGATTGAAGGGCTTTCATATGTTCTAGAAATATCACTGGTCACCCTCTTTAATTGATGGAAGCTTGGATCGTGTTTCAATGTGGCAACTTCCTTTTAAGTACTCAAATGTTATAGGCTGTGGAAGTTTGGGATCGTGTTTTGTAATTTATGCGTTTGCCATTCTTTTTGAAGAATGATTATCTAATTGAATTAAATTCCAACATTGTCGGCCTAATTGAAAATCTCTACTCTTAACAACGTGTCTTTCATTCTAATTACCATATCGTTTGTGTTGTGATACATACTAGGTGAAATACATTTGATTTGGCTGCTTATATGAATTTGTTGTGTGTTTAAAATTACGTTGGCATGA